TGTCATGAACTGCACCCATATAAGACTGCAGACTTAATTGATAAATGTTTTGTGTGTTCTCACTGCTCCATGGACTGGTCATTCCCCCATATCTCTCCCTCCCCTAGACCTCCCTATTCCCTGAGACACAACAATATTGAAATTAGGCCAGTGAATAACCCTACAATGGCTTCTTCAAGTGAAAGAAAGAGTCACACATCAATCACTTTAAATCACAGCTAGAAATGATTAAGTTTAGTGAGCAAAGCATGTCAAAAGCTGACATGGGCCAAAAGCTGGGCATCTTGCATTAGTTAGTCAAGCTGTGAATGCAAAGGAAAAGTTCTTAAAGGAAATTAAAACTGCTACTCCAGTGAACCCACGAATGGTAGCCAAACAGCCCTATTGCTGATATGGAGAAAGTTTTACTGCTCTGGATAAAAGATCAAACCAGCCACAACATTCCCTTAAGCCAAAGCCTAATTCAGAGCAGGGTCCTAACTCTGCAGTCCTATGAAGGCTGAGAGAAGTGAAGAAGTTGCAGAAAAAAACTTTGAAATCACAGGTTGGTTCATGAGGCTTAAGGAAGGAAGCCACCTCCATAGCCTAAAAGTGCAATGTGAAGCAGCAAGTGCTGACATAGAAGCCACAGCACATTATCCAGAAGGTCTAGCTCAGAGTATTCATGAAAGTGGCTGCACCAACAGATTTTCAGATGAAGCAGCCTCTATTGGAAGAAAATGCCACATAGGACTTTGATAGCTAGAAAGGAGAAGTCAATGCCTGGCTTCAAAGCTTCAAAGGATAGGCTGCCTCTGTTTTAGGGGCTAATGTGACTTTAAGTTGAAACCAATGCTCATTTACCACTCTGAAAAATCTGAGGCCCTTTAAGAATTATGCTAAATGTACTCTGCCTGTGCTCCATAAATGGAATACTAAAGCCTGGATAACAGAACATCTGTTTACAACATGGTTTACTGAATATTTTAAGCCCACTTTTGAGATCTGCTTAGAAAAAGGATTCTTTTCAAAATATTACTGCTTCTTGATAATGCACCTGGCCACCTAACAGCTCTGATGCAGATGAACAACAAGATTTCAAGCCTATTAACATCCATTCAAGGAGTAATTTCAAGTTTATTAAAAAAATGCATTTTGCTAGGATGTAGCTGCCATAGATAGTGATTCCTCTGACAGATCTGGGCAGAGTAAATGGAAACTGTTCTAGAAAGGATGCACAACTCTAGATGCCATCAAGAATATTTGGGATTCATGGGAGGAGGTCAAAATATCAACTTTAATGAGAAGAAATGGATTCCAGTCCTCATGCATGACTCTGAGAGGTTCAAGACTTGAGTGGAGGAAGTAACTGCAGACGTGGTGGAAACAGCAAGAGAACTGGAATTAGAAATGGAGCCTGAAGACGTGACTGAACTGCTGCAAGCTACTGATAATACTTTATGGATGAGGAGTTGGATGAGCAAAACGTGGTTTCTTGACATCCAATCTACTCCTGGTGAAGTTGCTGTGAAGATTGTTGAAATGACCACAAAGGATTTAGAATATTACATAAACTTTGTTGATAAAGTAGTGGCAGGTTTTAGAGAATTTTGAAAGAAGTTCTGCTGTGAGTAAAATGCTATCAAACAGCATTGAATATTGCAGAGAAATCATTCATGAGGGGAAGAGTCCACCGATGCAGCAGACTTCCTTGTCTTACTTTACGAAGTCACCACAGCCCACAGCTTTCAGCAGCCACCACCCTGATAGGTCAGCAGCCATCAACATCAAGGCCAGACCCTCTACCAGCGAAAAGATTATGACTCACTGAAAGCTCAGATGATGGTTACCATTTTTTAGCAATAAAGTAATTTTAAATTAAGGCATGTACAGTTTTTTAGACATGATGTTATTACACACTTAGTCGACTATAGTGTAATGTAAACTTAACTTTTATATACACAGGGATACCAAAAAATTCACTTTATTTCACTGATCTGGAACTGAATTTGCAATATCTCCACATGACTGTATCTGTATAATTCCACTGATGCCACTAGATTCTAGCAATGGTTTCTCTCTTGGAAAACTTACGTAAAGGAAGTTGACCTGCTTCCCACAGCCCTGTAATTAAATAGATCTAATGAGAAGTCATATGCAAGTCTGATTTCTGTGGTGAATGCCCATCATGGTGGATGTTCATGTAAGTTGCCTTCTCAAAACCAATAATGGCCCAGGTCTGAGTACAATAATAACTTAGCTCCGAATGCAAAAGCACCATTTACCCTCCCTGCACTCTTTTATCTCATCACTTGTCGTTCTGTTTAAATGAGCCATGAATTGCAAACATTTGGAGCCTTAACCAAGTAATAGTCTTGCACTTTCCCTGGCAAACAGAAGTGGAGCTGAAAATTTAGCCCCCTGGTATCATTACTGTAGCTCTCTTTATGACTGAAGGAAAATCACATTTCAAATTCTTCCCGCTTTCCTGTGCCATTCACAGCAAATTTCAAAGTATGGCAGTAAGCAGGTTGGTTTGTAATAGCAATGCTTAAACCCAGAAATTAAATTAAACCACAAAGCATGGTGTACTGGTAGTTCAAGTAAGGTTTCTTCAGGAAGAACCTCTCCACAGAAACAGCAGTGACAATCATAGCATTCTTTCTGATGATCTGAGTTACTGAGCTTATGTAGATTACAGAATTTGGTTCCTGTTTTCCAGAGACCCTTCTCAGAGAATCTGACAAGAGTGAATAGTCAATGAAGGCATTAATACAGCGCCTTTTCAAGTTGTTTTCAATTCCTCTTCTCAAGGAGGAGGAACAAAAAGTAACTAGTCCAATAGAAGCTTTCCCATACAGAATGATTGGAAAAGTGTAACTATTCAAGAGAATATGTTTTACTGGAATGTATGTGTAGATTACATGGTCCTTAATGATTTATGTTAATTATTGTCGCTGGTATTGCCCTTTTCTTCTGTGCATTCCACAAAGAGTTTTGCTTGGAGGGCTGTGCGCTGAGGCTGCTGTCGGCTTTGCCTGTGCGGGAGGGGAGGGTCTGAGCAGCTTGAACACATGGTGGGCAGAGGGGGCTTCCGTGGGCTGCCTGGAAACTAATCAGAGTTCAGCACTGGTGGGAGAGCAGCCCCCAATTTGCCCATTTTGGGGATCTGCAAGGACTTGAAGAGTTTCTCCCACAGTATCAAATGCCCCAGGAAAGCATAATATGCATCCAAACATGGATTTTTTTTTCTGTCAGGGATGAGAGAGACAGGAAGGCCTGCTGGCAGGGCGGGGGACTGCAGTTGTTTGGGACAGCCAGTGTAGGTGTGCTTTGGCGCCTTCCTCCTGGAAGGTTTTGTCTGTACTGTGTCAAGTGACCGGTAGGAGCTGGTGGAAGCAGGCTCTTTGCAACCAAAGTAAGTCAGGCTGTTGTCAGAGCCCAAGGCCTAGGGACATCTGGGTTAGGATGACTCTGGCTTGGAGTGTCTCAGCTCCCTCTCTTTCCCTCCCTCTCCCTACCAACATTTCTGGCATTAATAATTCAAAGACAAATGCATAACAGCTATACAAGGATCAGGGTAATCTGGACCTGGGGGTCTGAATACAGATCCTTCCTTCATGAGCATTTTGTATCTGAGGAAAAACATTCAGGTTAAAACAAGATTCATTTGGCATTTGCCTTGGAGCCACCAGTACAGACACTGTCTGAGATGAGTTTCTCCTTAAAGCAAGATTACCAGGTAATTCTGTTGCAAAGTCATGGAGACCTTGAATTATCTGCCCTGTTAACCCAACTGCCTATGTATCATGCTGCCAGTCAGGGATTTAACCTTCTGGAAGATTCACCACATCTTGAAGTTCAAAAAAACTCCTGTTCGTTGAGGGGTCTCTTCTTCCCTTCTCATTTCCTGACAGGCCCATTTTCCATTTCGTCTATATATAACCTTTGTCCTTGAGGGCCTTCTGCATCGTTTTTTGTCCTAATTGGCCAAAATACGTCCCCCACACTGCCAAAACACACAGGTGACTCAAGGTCAGAATCTGGAGGAGAGGCCAGCTATTGTTCTGCATGCATTCTTGATCTAAATTAATCTAAGACCTTTGCCTGAATGGCCTGTAAACTGGGTCAAGGTAAGGTCAACAGGTTAAATATTGTCCTTTATTTCCCCTCAATGATGGGGCGCCTACAGATTAAAAAATCACACTTCCTACACACACTAGAAGTTGTGTCACTTTTAGATAGCTGAAACAGCAAAACTTAAATTTGCCTGGATTATTCTCCCATCCTTTTTTTGTGGACATTGTGCCTCCTATATTCACTTTCTGGGAAATTTGCCAATTTTCAAGGACTGGGTAAAGAACAAAATAAATATTTGTAGATAGTTTAAAAGGGGAATGAATATGTTGGATGTGACTCTGCCCATCCAAAGAAAAGCATTTTTATTACCTTTCAGATATTTTAAAGTAATTAACTTGAGAGATTCAGAAGGTTGGTTTTACTAGTTTGCTTTTTAGATTTGGGATCAAGGGGTGTGTGTGTGTGTGTGTGTGTGTGTGTGTGTGTGTGTGTGTGTGTTTAGGGGGAAAGAGGAGGAAGGAGTCAAAGCACAGGCAAAGGAGTACAAGCTCTTTTGTCAAGTCCAGTTTAAAATTGACGGTGTGAAAAGTAAACAACCTGTTTGTGTGTATGGGCATCAGGCTCCAAACACCTAGTGCCAGAAAATGTTTACTGAACAAATTCAGCATATTCTCTTTCTAATCGTTTTTCCTTTTTAAAGGGATTTCACTTAAATCTGAGGACGTTCAGTACTTGGCTGTTTATTGATACGTACATCAGCCAATTTGGGAAGCTCATTCTGTGGCTGATGCTAAAAAGACCAGAGCACTGGCTTCCAGCAGAGGTGTAGGCGAGTGAGAAAAGTTTTCCTTCGGTGGCCGCGGATCCCGGCAGTTTCTAGCGGTGCAAGCAGGCAGGCTGGGTCACCTGTTGGGCCTCCGGGAGCACGCGGCGCTGGGGCCGGCTCGGGGCAGGGCTGCCGGGCGGCTTCAGGCACAACCCCCCTCCTCCGGCCAGGCCGGCGGGGGGCGGCCTGCCGGACGCGGGGACTGAGGCTTGGGAGGAACGGGGGCGAGGGGGGAGAACCCGGCGCTGGAATGCAGTCTTCCCGGGCGAGCGCAACTTTGCACCGCAGTGGAGCATAGTTTGGGGTGGGGTTTCGCAGCGTCCCCTCCTCCCAGCCCCCGGGCCCCCTTCCAGGCGCTTTCTGGGAGCTTTCCGAACTGCGCTCAGAAGTTTAAAGAGCAGAGAGGCGCTTGTGCTTGTAGGCAGGGACAATGGAAGAAAATGAAAGCCAGAAATGTGAGCCGTGCCTTCCTTACTCAGCAGACAGCAGACAGATGCAGGGTAAGTAACAGACTCATTCAAAGATGGAGTTCCAGTAACGCGTGTCCCTCCCCGCTTGCTGCTTCTCCTAACTGGAGACAGGGCACAAGGCAAAGAAAAAACGTATTTCCTGGGGTGGTAAGTTTTCCAAACTGAGTAGAGACCTTTGAGCTCTCGGGTTGGACTATCTCGTGCAGGATATTTTTACGAAGCAAAAAAGGGTGTCACATTTGTAGCTCAGTAAGCAGTCAGTATGTGTTCTCTCTCTAGGCAATGACAAATATATCGCTAAAAGCAGCTTTTAATACTCCCTGCTCTTGCCAGGGAGAAAGGCGCTGTTGCTCTCGGACGGCAGCATTCCCATTCATTGGCCGGGGGATTCCATGCGGCACATTTATGTTGCATGCAAGTGTTAACAGAGTTTTAGAATTAAGTCACAGAGTTTGGGGATGTTTTATTTTAAGATGAGAACAGCAGGGGAGCCCTTGTACATCTGGATGACGGATAGGACGCAGTGAATCTTCTGTGTGTTTTAATTCAAAAGTTCAGAATTGTGAGGCGATTTTGGTACATTTTCTCTGGGCAGTTTCCCTTTAATTGTGTTTGTAATAGACTTGTCTTTTCCGTAGGGAATTTCCAGAAGCTTATGTTGTTCCAAAGAAACTTCACAGTGGGGTTGGGTGGAGAATGGACTTCTGCACCCCCGTGTATGACAGTTGTGGTGCTAGAGCCGGTGTTATAGTATCATATAGGCAGCGTGCGCACAAACCGCACAATCCGGAACCATCCCCACCCACACTACTCCAGGTTCACCCAGGGGCCAGTTAGTAACTAAAGTCGTGCCTGTGGGCTGCAGTTTTCCGCGTGGGAATAGGGATTATGCACAGGGTAAAAGGTGTGTGTGTTTAAAAAAGGCGAAAGGGAAGTAACAAATGACTCATACACATGGAAAATGCAAAACAAAGCAGACAGAAGAAAATGCCATTTCAAGAGAGAGAAACCCCCCAGTGAAACACAGGAAACCTGAAGTTTAGTAAACTCATAGAGAACCCCCGAATCCAGCCTTCGGGTTCTCAGTCTAGGTGTCTATGTTTGTGCTTCCAAAGTAGAGCACTCCCCTTGAGGGTGCCTGGTTGGTGGGGTCCAGCGGGAGATAAGGCTCCCTCCCCTATCTTCCCCTCTTGTTTGATAGGACAGGATTCTGCAGCAGGAATTCAACCTCTAGGCCTCTGCTGAAATAAATGACTCAGAATCCAGAGGGGCAATGAGAATGGAGCCAATTTAAGAAAGAACCTTCAAACAATCACTGTAATTCAAAGATTCTTCAGAGGCTGAAGATGGTCAGACGGAGGGCATGTGATCACTTTATTCATTCATTCAATGAATATTGAGTATCCATTATGTAATACTCACTGCTTTTTAGCTGCTGGTGATCCATCCAGTAGTTTACAAAGTAGACTAAAAATACTTGTCTTTGTTGAATGTATGTTCTAAGGGCCAAGTGTGGAGGTAAGGGGGTGGTGTGAACAAATACCTAGCACCACAAAGGAACAACTAAAACATACAGCAAATTAGATGACAGGGTTGCCAGACTTAGCAAATAAAAATATGGGATGCCCAATTAAATGTGAATTTCAGATAAACAATAAATCATTTTTAGCATAAGTATATCCCAAATGTTGGATGGGATATGCTTACACTGAAAAAAGTATTCATTGTTTATCTGCAATTCACATTTAGCTGGACATCTATTTTATCTAGCAACTATGTTAGGTGACAGTAGGGCTGTGGGGAAAAATTAGGCTGCAAAAGGGAATAGGGGCTGCAAGGGGTGAAACTGTACATAGGATTATTAGGGTGAACCTCACCAATGTGATATTTGCACAAGCATCTGAAAGAAGCGAGGGAGGCAACAGCACACCCCTAGGAGAAGGATGGGAGGGAAAGAGGTTAAGAGGTGGTAGTCCCAGGCCAGATCACAGAGGGCCCAAGATACGATGGCAAGGAGTGGGCTTTTATTTCAGGGTATGTGGAGGGCTGCTGACAGGTCTGATATTTCTTATAAAAGGGAAATACTGGGAGCTGTACTGGGAATAACCCATGTGGGAGTAAGGGAAGGGCAGGGAGGCCTGTTAGGAAGCCTCCAAAGTAAACGAGGGAAGAAGTGGCACCAGCTTGGACCAGGGGGTAGTAGAAGCAGGTGGTGATAAGACAGATTCCAGATGTATACTGAAGGTAAAGCCAAAAGAATTTGCTAAGGGGTTGGGTGTGGAATATGTGAGGGAAAGAGGAGTCAAAGATGATTTCTGAAATTTTGGTCTGTGCAGCTGGCAGAGCAGAGTTGCCCTTTACTTAAGTGGGAAAGCACTGGAGAGCCTCTGATTATAGGGCATTAGTGGTTGGCACTGGGATGGGGGAGCAGAACATGGTTAGGCCTCAGACTTCCATCAGGCATGGGGTGGAGATACTGATTGCAGTTTCGATATTCATGACTGGAATTAAGGAAATAGGGCTGAGGTCCTGGAGACATCTGCTAAGACTGGGTCTACATGCTGGCTGACAGGTCTCAGAGGGGTGTGCAGGGACATGCCAGCAATTAGAGGTCAGGGAGCTTGGATGGGAGTGGTGGTGCTGGGGAGGTTTTACTGGGAATAAATTCAGGTCCAGTGCCTAAGATCCCATCACATTCTAGGTGAAAATGATGCTGTAAAGGAGTATGGCTTCATTTCCAATTCCTTGGTTGTCATTGGACCACACAAGGGAAGCCAGCCCTCTGATGCTTGTATCACCATTAATACCCATGGCCATTCCCATTGTTGTATTTGTTTATGTATCTGCTTCAACCAAGTACAACATGGTGTTCCAGGGCAAAGACCACATCTTCTTTGTCCTTAAATTCCCAGCACTTAATAGCACCAGGCATCCTGGAAGGCACTCAATAAATATTTGTTGACCAAAAGGCTAATATTTCCGCTCTAGGGCTTGGAGCTTATCAATCTGCTATACCAAGGGCCCCTTGGGTGATCAAGCAGCTTACTGTCCAAACCAAGACACTCTGGAGAGTGAAAGGGGACACTATAAATAATTCCACTGCTACAACAGTTGCAGCCCAGAACTGTTTTAGCAAACTGAGCATATGGTTGACTCAAGAATAGTTCTAATCAATGGAAGCCTCCCTGGCTGAGTAGGCAAGCTGCTAGGTAAATAACAGTGCAAAGTGTACTGCCAAGTGTGTTGTGCACACTGGGCACTCAGTAACTATTGCTTGGAGTAGAATCTAACTCTTTGAAGGTCCTGGGCTCCTCACAGCGGTCCTGGGGTGGGGCAGGGGATTCCTTAGGGTACCTCTGTCTGCTCACAGCTGCCCTGAGAGGTCTGGTTTGGCCGTGACCCCTAAGCTTTTGAAACCCCAATGCAGGTGACATGTTGTCAGACCACCTGCTTGCCTCCCACACTTTCTGATGCTCTAGCATTTTAAGAAAGTTAGTATTTGCTATTGTGGTAATCATTTTGCAATATAAACTGAATCAAATCAACATGTTGTGCACCTTAAATTTACACAATGTTGTATGTCAATTATATCTCAAAAAAGCTGGAAAATAATAGTATTGGCCACCTCCACAGAGTGCAAGCTTGGGGAAACCCAGATTCAGGTCTTTGCTTTGAAGTCTCCTCTAAAATTGCCCTATCCCTCTGCCCCTTATCCTATTTTATCCTTCAGAATACTTATCATCTTGTGACATTTAAATAGGAACACCTTGGAGATATTGCAGATTTGGTTCCAGTCCACTGCAATAAAGTGAGTCAAATAATTTTTTGGTTTCCCAGTGCATGTAAAAGATATGCTTACAGTATACTGTAGTCTGTTAAGTGTGCAATAGCATTATGTTTAAAAAGACAATGTACATGCCTTAATTAAAAAATACTTCATTGCTCAAAAATGCCAACCATCATCTGAGCTGTCAACCAGTGGTAATCACTGATCACAGATCACTGTAACAAATATAATACTAATGAAAAACTTCGAAACATTGCAAGAATTACCAAAATGTGACATCAAGACACAAAGTGAGAAAATGTTAATGGAAAAATGGCACTGATAGACTTAACGGTTGCAAACCTTCAGTTTGTAAAAATGCAATCAATATCTGCAAAGTACAGTAAAGCAGAGATCAAGAAAATGAAGTATTCCTGTATTTCGTGTTATTTGTTTGTTGTCTGTGTCCCTAATTATAAGGTGGATCTTCTATGAAGGAAGAGAATTAATCTCTCTTGATCATCACTTCTCTTACGTCTCTAGCTCCTTTCAGCATATGGAGCAGGCACTAATAAATATATATTCTAGTGAATGAATGAGCCAATCAACCAACACTTGAGACAAAAATGCTTTTCTGGGCAGGGGAGGTGCTGTTCCTATTTTATCTAAAATTTGTACCAGAAACCTCCTTTATCACTTATTTAATTTTTTAAGGCTTTGTTTGGAGGAATATACCACGGTCTGATTTCCGCTGTAATTTCTGTGCCCATCTGTATATGGTGATTAGCTTTACGATATTAACAATGGAGCTGGAAAACTGAGGAGCCTGTGGCCCCCCAACAGAATGTGTGATCTGTATCAGTCAGATGGGCAGATTGTCACAACAACCCATAATCTCTGTGGGTTAGCATAAGCAAGGGTAGTTTTTTGAACACAGTGGAATGTAGATCTTCCTGCCTGTGGATCTCCTGGCAGCCCACCTCCAGGCCAACTCTGGGACACAGACTTCTGTCTAGTCATGACACCATTTCCCAAGGCTTCTCCTGCAGCTTTTGCACTCACCTGGCCAAAGTGGAAGAAGAAAGAGCATGCAAAATCATTCAGCAGGCCCAAGGGCCAGGACTGAAGTTCACCCACATCAGTTCTGCCCGCTGCATAGACCAGAATCAGCACAAGTCCCCATCTAGATAAAGGGGACTGGAAAAGGCAGTCTTCCTGTGTGTACAGCAGGAGGATGTTATGGTTTGAATACACAGATAGACAA